CTATACAAGGATCTATGCCTACTTCCTAAAACTGACTGAATCCTTTACTAACCATTGTACATGGTGACCCAGGCTCCTCTTCCACATCAGCCGGGTATTTTTGCAGAATCGAGCCAAAAACCAGTCTGCTCGTTGCAGGATCCTTCTTGACCAAACTTGGGTAGGCCCCCCACACTCTCCTAAACTTTCCATCATTGTTCCCCCCACCTTCCGTTTGCATCTCCGATGGTCGACCCTGAGGGCAATTCGCAGATTCTCCAACGTCCTATTCCTCACGGCCTGCATTGTAACCTCCCTTCCCTGTCGAATTCTCTCATTCCGAAGTGTCCATATTCCCCAGAGGACTGCTCCCCTGACCACCTCTGCGGCAAACAGCTGACCCTTGTCTTCCCTATCGACTGTCATCATCGTACCCAGCAAGATTACCAGGTCGTCCCCGTCCGTGACTTCTTACCCATGGGGAGGGCTTCCTTATCTCCTCAGCCCACCATTTCCAAAACCTCGATATCTCCGGGCATTGTATGAACAGGTGCGGGATAGTTTCCTCCTGACCGCACCCCGGGGGCAGTACACTGCTCCTCCGTGTGCCGGCTCTTAGTGGTCAACCATTGCGCCGTCGGAATTGCAAGATGAAATATCATCCATAGTAGCCCCGACCGCTTCTGATCCGCCAGTGCCTTCAGTATTGCGCACTGCGACCTCCATCTTCGATGTGTTCATCTTGCCACCCATGCCGGGAGATCCAAGCTCTCTTCGGCGTCTTCGCCCATCGGTCTTGCAGCTCCATTGAGATGTTCACCTTCGGGAGCAGTGAGTGGTATGACTGCGGTAAATAGCCTTGGTGGTCAGCTGCTGCAGCGGGATCTTCTTCCTGTTGTAGCTCTGGGGGTCGAGGTAGCGTTCCTGCGGGTCAACGACCAGCTCCCGTCTCGTCTTGCGTAGACAAAAGGGGAGGTACTCCTCATCGCCCAGCCTAACGGGGAGCCTAACCCATCACATCCTGAGCTGGCCGTCAGCAGGTCTCTCTCCCGCGCCTCGCCAAATCCCGTATGCCTCCCGCGGAGTGACCTCACCTTTCCTCCTCACCCAGTCCCCTCCCCTCCTGCAGCCCCCCCTTTTTCAATAGGTCCACCCATTGTGTTGGGATCGCCTCTCTTATCTCCCACAACCGCTGGGACCACGGCCCGTGCGGGGAGCGGCCGAACAGGCCGACGCGGGCGGGGCGATCCGAAACGGTGCGCCTCCCGGAAAGGCGCAGGCCGAGCACCACGAGGCGGTCGGCCCGGTGCGAAACGGGATGGCTGTGGGAAAGTGTATATTTCCATGTTCTAGCGGAAGGAACATTCATTCGATTTTGCTCATCCTATCGAGGGAAGTAGCGTGAGGCCAGCCGCGAGGTTGGAGAC